GGAGTCTCACAGTCTCTCCTGCCCGGGCTGGCTTTGAACCGCGATCCTCAGATCTCAGCCTCCTGAGTAGCTAGGATTACAGGCGTGAGCCACCAGTGCCCGGCTAACTAAAAACATCTTAAATGATGAAACCATACATGTTTTCATCTCCAACATATTTTTGGAAAGATGCTTTTTAAAGATGACATTATAAAATATTGAAGCACTTAAATTCTAATACAGGAAGAAATCTGTTTTCTCTGCTTTTGAGACAGGGTTTCACCATGTAGCCGAGGCTTGCCTCTAATTCTCAGTTCTTCCTCAGCTTTTGGAGTATTGGGATTACAGGTGTGAGCCACCATGACTGGCTAATAGCTCCAAGCATTACATCATCTAAAATCATCTCTCGTTTCTCCAGCACAATTAACTTATGTTTGGGTCCCTGAGTTGACTGTACAAACATTAAAGACCAAAGGAGAATAAAAAAATTCTTCAGAGAAGCATATACGGCAAACTGCTTAAGCAACAAATAAGCTGTAAGTGTGCGGCTGTTCATTCGGCACGCTTGTGTGAAAGAACTAAGTCCCTGTGACATTTCACTACAATGTCATCTGAGCCTTCCGGACCACTCAGGATTTAATAAGGCTTAAAAGAAATAAGGCATTGTGCAGCCACACACTCCTATATTTCCAGCTACTGAGAGGTTGGGGTGGGAAGCGTCAGCTGGGCACTGTCTCTGAGCTTTTGTGCTCAAGATTAGAGTCCTGCCACTTGAGCCACAGCTCCGCTTCTGGCTTTAGTTAATTGGAGAGGCAAGTTTCAGACTTTCCTGCCTGGCTTGGCTTCAAACTAAGATTCTCAGATCAGATCTCAGCCTCCTGAGTAACTAGAATTACAGGCATGAGATACCAGCACCAGGTCATTTTTTTTTTAACTTAAATAGTCAATGTTGGATAAAAGAAACGTTGTAAAAATCAAACCACTCATTTTACTGAAAGTTTATGTCTAAGTCAAAACTCCTCTCGCTGGCATGGGTTGAGCAGGAAGGTGGCTCTGGGGATGGGTGCCTGGGGCCTGGGCTTCCTCGGGGTGGGGTGTGTCTGTGGGGAAGGTCAGACCTGGATAAAGTTGGAAGCCATGACCCGAAGGCGGGCGGAGGAGTCTCCGGTTCTGGTGAGCAGTGCGGGCAGAGTCCTTTCCACGCAGTGTGTCGTCTCCACTTTACTCAGCTTATGCTTGGGAATGTACTGCGTGATTATCATCTTCAGCAGCTTCAGAGATGCCTGAAAGACCTGAGAGGAAGGGTAAGCACGCAGGTGATGGCTGGGTCTCACCAGCAGCCACCATGGTGCTCACCACCCCTGATGAGTCTCAACCATCTACTCAACGGGACAGCCTGTCTGAAGGTCTGGCCCGGCAGGCCATCTGGAGACTGCTTTCCAGATAGATTCCTGCACCCACGTGACCCTGTTCCTGTCCTGCCGTCAGGAGGGGTGCAGTACATGCTGTGACCTGAGGCCATCGGACTCCACTGCCTACACACGAGCTCCCGCACCACGAGCCCAGCCAGGCCGAGGACCAACTCTTCTTTGGTGGTGGGATCCTACCCATCGCATGTGTCAGGCAGGTCTGCTACCACGGAGCTCCAGCCTGTGCCTATGTATGAAGTGCGATCTAAGTATCATTTCAGGCTAATAACTCACTTTGCTCACCAGCATGATTGTAGCTACTCTTTTTTTTTTTTTGTCAGTCGTGGGGTTTGAACTCTGGGCCTGGGCGCTGTCCCTCAGCTCTTTAGCTCAAGGCGAACACTCTGCCACTTGAGCCACAGCACCACTTCTGGTTATCTGGTGGTTAACTGGAGGTTAAGAGTCTCACAGACTTTCCTGCCTGGGCTGGAAACCGCAATCCTCAGATCTCAGCCTCCTGAGTAGCTAGGATTACAAGTGTGAGCCCAGCAGAAATGCATTCTTTACCTGACTTATGTAATTGTAACCCCTCTGTACATACCCTTAGAGCAATAAAATAATAATGAAAATTTTAAAAAGCATTGGCAGCGCGTGGGCTTCCTGTGTCTCTTGAGAAAATAAACATGAGCTGAGAGCTGTGGCCCCCGCACAGCTGCTGAGGATCATGGAGAAGAGGCTGTGAGCCAAGGAGGGATTGGGGTGCACAGCTGCACCTCTGATTGCGCAGTGCATCTCCTGTTGGATGCCATCGGTGCACAGTGATGGCTACACAGGGACCAGGCTGTCCCACAGCCATCCTGGGCCGCTGTGGAGCTGTGGGACCCGGGGCCTGGAGGACTCACCGAGATCACAATGTCCTTCATGGCTCTTCGGATGAGGAAGACGGACGCTCTCAGAGTGTTCTTTAAATCTTCCTTTGGGGTTCCGATGGGCAGCTCCATCAGCCTTTTACTCAGAGCCAGCAGCGCATCCTCTCGGCAGGACCACGTCTTGGAATAGGCCCCGGCAACCTGCCACAAGCACAAGTCTCCTTTGCTGTAGGGGACAGTGGTTCCCACCCCATACAAGGTCCCCCAGACTGCGCAACCCAGAGACATGGCTTGTGTTTTAGTAGGAAGAAGAATCTGTTCTAGAAACATCTTCTGCAGATCCTTCTGCAAATCCGTATACAAGTGTTAAAAATGTGACAGGTGCACAGGGACACTGTGAAGCTGAGGCCTGGGACAGCTGGGCATTTCTTCCCCAAGAAAGTGGAAGCAGCTGGTGTTTCTGAGGGGAGCTAATCTTCACCAAAAGAACTTTGGTCTTAAATAAATGCTCATGCACAAAATCTGACATGTGAGCGCCTGTTCTGCAGTGCCTATGGGTGATAGTGTGTGGCTTCCCTGGGGAAATCAGCAACGGTCTAAAACAAAGCCTGGCTGCTCGCGCCTCCTCCCTTCCTGGCCTGTGTGCACACGTGTGTGCGTGTGAGTACACCTTGGGTTCTCTTCTTTACCAACGTCTCTCCCAGCACGTCAATGGCGGAGCTGGCTTCTCGCAAGGCCTTTTCTGTCAAGGGCTCTGGCTCCACGGTGCCGCCTCCCCTCTGAGCGCCCCGCGAGTCTGCCTGGCTTATTTCGGGCTCCCCTGAGGTGTCCCCCTGCGGCTTGCGAGAGGCTGGAAGGGGCCGTTCGTCATAGGGCAGAGTCTCCACCTGCCATGGGAGGAGAGGAGGCGGTGAAGCTCTGGGGGTCAGGGTAGGGGTCCCCCAGCTTTCTGCTCTCAAGGGAAGTGAGTGATCCTAATGGTGCATTCTTAACTAGCAGTACCATCAGATTATTTATAACTGTTGTATTATCATAGTATTTTATACTACAAATGGGCTGCAAGTGCCAAAGTTAGACCAGGCCTCCTATTATATAGCCTTTCTAAACAACACTAGATGAAATAAAAATCCATGTGGACTTGACTGTTACCCTCCCTCCCTCTACTTGCCTCTTCCTCCCTTCCTTCTTCTTCCCTCCCCCTCCCTCCCTATGCCAGGTATTCTGAGCTGCACTGTTGGATAAATGTATGTTTTTATAGACAAGCCTCCCTGGCAAACAAGTTAAAACACCCCAGGCTAAGGGCTCCATGCAGAAGGGGTCATTTTGGTTCAATCACACAGGTTATGAAAGTGAAGGTTATTCTTTTCTGACAAGATCACTGATGTCTTCCTAGTTTATTGCTTACAATTAATTAACTACCAAACTTGATTCTAATGGACATGTTTATGTCTGGTAGCTGACATTTAACAAGCTCTCTCTGCCCCCTGGCTAGGCAGCTGCCCATTCTATTTACTGCCCACCAGTCCAGCCAACACTTACTGAGCTAAATTTATGCCAGGCACTGCTCCTGGCGGCCCCCGCCCCACAACGAGGAAGGCGGACTTCCTGCTCTCATGGGCTTGGTCCTGTTCCCCTGGGGATACAGGCATACAATTAAATAAGCCAGCATGGAGCAGGATTTCAGGGATGAGCAGATAAGCGATCAGGTCCTGAGGAGGTGTCACTGTGGTGCTAAAGCCACCTCGGCCCTTATAGAAACAGTAGTGAGCCTGCGCCCGTGCGCAGCTATGCTCCTGTTCTAACATCCACCCTGTGGTCAAAGCTGAGGACACCGAACAGTGACCACTCAAGCAGTCAACCTGGTAAAGACGGGTGTTGAGGAGTGGTGACAGCTCCTCCCAGGGGCACCCTAGACCAAGATGGAGCCATGGCTGTTCTGCTCTCTTCTGCTCCCTCATGGACACGCTCTGGGGAACACTGGCCCTTCCTCGTCCAGTAGCGTATCTGAAATCTCCCAGAAGGCCTTGTCACATCTCTCCTCTGCCGGAGGCTGGTGAGGTATGTGGCTGAGGCTCACCTGCGGGGTGAATCTGAGGACTCCCACGCAGAGTGAGGCATGTGCTCACCCTCGATGGCCCAAGTGGCCCACACGCCAGCAGCCGGCTCTGTGGTGATGAGGAGCCAAAATGCACGGAGCACTAGGAGGAAACCTGCTTTTTGCTGACATGGCTGAGCTCCTGAATCAAACTAGCCCAAACCCCGTGTGATTTCTTATGTTGCTAGCTGCAGGAGTCAGTGAAACCCCTACTTCTGTGACCTCTGACAAAGTACTCAGGCAGCACTGGGGTTTGAACTCAGGGCCTGATGCTTGTGAGGCTGGTGGGCTGCCACTTGAGCCATGCCCCAGCCATGCCAGCTGGCTCTGTGTTCAGTGATCCCGCCTCCCTCCTACAAGGCCAGAGGCGGGCTGGCCTGGGGTCCTCGGCACCAAGACCTGGCGTGGCACAGGCCCCGTGGGTGTCAGCGGGCTGCGGATGGGACTGTGCACCAGGCGGCAGCAGAGGGACTTACAGGGTTTCGTGGCAGAGGGCCAGCGGCGGGAGGCGATGGGTCTGCGGCAAAGCACCGGGGAAGAGTCTCCAGGGGGTGTGATGAGAGTTTCTCTTGAAGAAAGGGGTCTGCAGGCAGGTTTTCTGGCACCGCCTCTTCTGGCTGTGGTGGCGAGGGCACTGGCTTCTGGTGGCGGGGACTGCCAGGATGTGCGAGGGGCTGGAGGGGCAGGGCGAAAGGCCTTCGCGTCTGGAGGAGAGGAAGAGAGCATTGGCCATGGCCAATGCTGTGCCGGGAGAAGGACTCCTGCACGCTGACAAGCCTCACAATAAAGCAAAGCTCCCATTCCCAGCGTCCTGTGGCGTTCCCTCGGCCATCTCCACAGTTAGGACTGGGGCTACAGAATCTCTAGGCATGCCTAAATCCTAGTGTGAACGTGGGCATGTATGTGCAAACCCCGCCCCCCCCGCCCCCCGGGAAAAGCAGGAGCGGGGGAGGAGAAGAGAAGGCACTTGGGCTGGACCCAAAGAGGCCTGGGCTCAACACTGGGCACTGCTGTCCACTGTGTGGGTCAAGTGGTTTTGTGCAATGCCACCCAGAAGAACAGAGGTGGTCACTGCCCTGGTGTGGCTCCCAGGCCTCAGCCCGGGTTTCTGGCTGCTTTCCTGCTTCAAGTGCTGCAAAGGCAGAGGCATACCCCATCCCAGCAGCCAGAGACCAGCAGCCGGAATGGAGGGGCTGGGTGAGCCGGGGCACCTGCATTCTCCACCTGTTCAGTGGGTCTCAGGGCCCAAGCTTCGGTCCTGCACAGGGTTTGGCTCACCCACCTACATGAGCTGTAAGATCAGAAGGCCAGCATGATACCTGTGGGCACCAAGGCTGTGCGGGTATACCTCCCGTGACTGCACACACCCGAAGAGTCCCTGGACTGAACAGAGGCCAGGGCTGGAGGGACGAGGAGCTGGTGGACAAACAGCAGTGCCTTGACCTCCTGACCTAGACCTTGTTCCCTTCCTCCTCTACTGTACATGCTCAAACATCACATCACAGCAGAATCTGCCAGCTATACACGGGGGGGGGGGCACTCCCTGCTCCCCCTCCCCCACAGCGGTCCCGCCCCCCCCCACCCTCACCTCAGGCTCCCCCTGCAGGAGGCCGTGCAGCTCCAGCTGCTCGTACACCTGGGCGCGGTAGCGCGCCATCTGCTGCTTCTTCTCCTTGGCCAGGTCGTAGTCTTCCTTCTCCACTGCACAGCGCTTCTCCACCTCGTACCGCCCCAGGCGCTCGCCAACCTGTGGCACAGAGGTCAGGTCTGCTGTGGAACGCCAGGGTCCAGGCAGGGACCACGTGAGAGTCTACGCGGAAGGGCCAGGCACTGGAGCACTATAGGACGGGCTGTGTGTCTCCCAAAGGTCCAGCTGCTGTCCTAGCACCCACAGCCAGGAACCCCATGCAAGCTTTGAGATAGCCCATCGCCTCACCCTACCCCTTCCCCCTCAGTCCCTGCAGAAAGTGTTGAGGGCCACGGCTTTGGGCTATGGTGGTGGTGAACCTGAGCCACGCACGCCTTCGGGGTGCTCACTGTCTCCATGACCTGAGACCCAGGACCTGGCCCCGTACTAGCTCCTTGGCTTCCAGGGACCTGCGCTTCTCAGTCTTCCCCTGGCGAAGGGGTAGGCGGCTTCTCAGAAGCAGCACCTTTTGCAAGTCGGCGATGGCCTGCTTCAGCTTCTTGGCGTGATCGTAGCGCTCCTTCTGGACAGCTTCCCGCTTCCTCTCATCCAGCCTGCGTATGATCTGGGCGACTTCAGGATCTTGGTACATGTCAAAAGCCAGGTCATCAAGGGGGGAGATGTAGTCAGATCTCCTGAGGAGAGAAAAGGCCATGAGGACAGGCAGGCCTGCGCACCTGCTCACGGCGGGGAAGGCACCATCGGCCCACGGTCCCTCCAGAGGAAAGGCCTGGTGAGCCGTGAGCTCTAAGTCACAGTGGCCATTCTGTTTTTGTTTTTCTTTTGGGTCCGATTGTGGGGCCTGAACTCTGGGCCTGGGCGCTGTCCCTCAGCTCTTCAGCTCAAGGCTAGCGCTCTACCACTTGAGCCACAGCACCACTTCCGGTTTTTTGCTTTTTTCTTATGTGGTGCTGAGGAATCGAACCTAGGGCCTCAGGCATACAAGGCAAGCGCTCTACCACTGAGCTACCTTCCCAGGCCCCAGAGTGGCCATTCTGCCTCTAGAGCCCTACCCTGATGCTTAGCTGCCTGTGCAACAGGCCTCTGAGCTGAGTGTGTGTTCATTCGTTCATTCATTCAAAAGTGTTCCAAGAGCAGATCTGGGCCACATGTGGCAGAAGCAAGGGGCCTGTGCGCTGCCGGAGTCAAATACAGATGGGAAACAAGAGGACAGAATGGGCGACCAGGCCTCCCTCCAGCTGGTGTGGGGGCAGCAGTCCAGTCTAGGCTCCATGTCATCACGCTAACTGATGACCACAAAAGGTTTACATTGCTACCACTGGGCTGTACTCAGAGTTACATTGTACAATTTCACCCCAAGTCCTATGCAGGTCCAGAAAAGTTCTTTTAGGAATCAGTTTATTCTGGTGATACTGGAGTTTGAACTCAGGGCTCTGCTTGCTAGGCTGCTGCTGCTCTACCAGTTGAGCCATGCCTCCAGCTTGTCTTTTGCTAGTTATTTTATTTTATTTTTTGTCGGCTGTGGAGTTTGAACTCTGGATCTGAGCGCCATCCTTGAGCTCTTCAGTTCAGGAGAGCACTCTACTTCATGAGACACAGTCACTTCTGGTTTCCTAGTTGTTTATTAGAGATAAGAATCTCACGGACTTTCCTGCTCAGGCTGGCTTTGAACTGTCATCCTCAGATCTCAGCCTCCGGTGTAGCTAGGATGACAGGTGTGAGCCACTGGCCCCTGAATATACACAATCTTTTTCATTATCTGAATATCTTCCTTCTGATTAAGTAATGCTTCATTCTTTGAAGTTTCCACAACAGGGCAACAACCATCTTCCTTCTGAGGCAACAATATAGGTCCAACCACTCAGCCGAGACTCAACAGAGGACCAGTGAGAGTCCCCATGGCCAGTGCCCTAACAGCATGGTGTGTGCCTGGTTGCATCTGTGACCTGGATATCACTACATATAGGCAAATTATAATCAAAGAAATGCCATGAAAAATTTGTCTGGACACACAAGGTGCTGGTGGCTCAGGCTTGTAATCCTAGTTACTCAGAAGGCTGAAATCTGCGATCAAGGTTCAAAACTAACCAAGAAGGAAAAATCTATGAGACTCTTACCTCCAATTAAGCAGCAAAAAGCCAGACTCAGAGGTGTGGCTAAGTGGTAGAGCATCAGTAGCAAAAAAAGCCAAGTGAGAGCAAAGGTCCTGAGTTCAAGCTTCCAGTAGCAGTGCATGCACACGCCCATACCTGTACACACACATGCGCGCAATCACATACATTCTACCAAATCAACAGAAGCAACAAAACAGTGTTCCACAGTTCTGCAGTCAGAATTGCAAGGACGATGGCAGTAGGGGCACTGTGGAATCCCAGAGGTGACAGTGGGTTCTAAAGTCCAGTGCTCCAGCTTACGCCAGCTCCTCACAAACCTCTCACTGCCCTTCCTGGGGTAGGTAGGCACCAGGACAGGACAGGAGACTGCCGTCAGTGCGGGCAAGGACATCCTGGGATAGGGGCCTGTGCCATAACGAACAGCATGTCCCTTCTCTCATTGGCAGCAGTGATTTTGAGCTCAGCCTGTGTGTCCTAAGGATGTACTCAGGAGTGGGTGAGGAGGGATGAAGCCATCTGGCTCTCTAAGTTTTCCAACTCTTTACTGCCAGGGATACATAACACTGCAAAAACTAAGATTAAAAAAAAGAGGTTGTAGCTGGGCATTGGTAGCTCATGCCTGTTATCCTAGCTACTCAGGAGGCTGAGATCTAAGGATCCCAATTTGAAGCCAGCTCAGGCAGGAAAGTCTGTGAGACTCTTACTTGTGATTAATCTCACACACACACACACTCACACGCGCGCGCGCGCGCGTGCGCGCGCGTACCAGAAGCAGAGCTGTGGCTCAAGTGGTTGAGTGTTAGCCTTGAACAAAAAGGCTCAGGGACAGTGACCAGGTCTGAGTTCAAGCTCCAGGACCAGCATGTGCGCACGCGCACACACGTGCGCGCACACACACACACACCCACACACACGCAGCAGAAGTGTATTCATGAAAATTATACATGAAAAATAACATAATGGGGGGGCTGGGAAGGTGGCTCAGTGGTAGAGTACTTGCTTTGCATGCATGAAGCCCTGGGTTTGATTCCTCAGCACCACATAAGCAAAAAGAAAAAAGCTGGAAGTGGCGCTGTAGCTCAGGTGGTAGAGCACTAGCCTTGAGCTTAAGAGCTGAGGGACAGTGCCCAGGCCCAGAGTTCAGGCCCTACGACCGGACCCCTCCCCCCAAAAAAAGAAAGAAAAATAACATAATGGGAAAGAGATGGGAGAAAATGTGTTTTTTAAGAACTTATATGACATGCATGTGGCTTTAAAAAGTAGCCATAAAATGATCTTGTCTAGCTGATCGTGTCAGTTAAGACCTTTGAATCTGCCTGGGCCTGAGGACAGCTGATGCTTTCATCCGCCTGTACCTGAGGGAGGATGACATCTCAAGGCTAGAACTGAGGAAGTCTCTAAAGGCAAAGGTGCAGATTGGCAAATTATCACAGCTGCCTTTGTCTTTACAACTTGGCAAGACATTCCGATCAGGTACTTGTCGGCGCTAGATGCCTACATGACTCCAGTTGCCCTCAATCCACACCTCGGAAATGACTTGACACTGGTGATTCTGACGATGGTCGTGAAGGTTTCTTGTGAAAGTAGGGGAGGGTTCTTACCCAGCGTAAGTTCCTTCTAGGGCCGGGTCCTCAGGGTTATGCCCAAGATAATGGTCAATTAGCTTCTCTCTAGAGGTCTGTAAGAGCAAAATATCTGCTCAGAATCTCAGCAAACAAGGGACAACATGGAAGTGTAACTACAACTATTCCTAGAAAGTTTTAGCAAGGTTCAGTGGTCCTGGTCTGTTAGAGGGATAGTTAAAATTCTTGAGTAGAAGACAAGTTATAGTTGCTAAAATAATCTGACAGTTATTCACTAGTCAGTTTTACAAAGATTTTTTAAAAAATATCCTCTTAATGGTTTTAATGATATTTTTTGTGATGAAAATAAATGACTTGGAATGAGACTCCAAACTTACAATATTATTCTTGTCACCAAAATCTGCAGGGTCTCCAATGATATTTATCGCAACCAAAGCAACCTAAGAAAGAGGTAAAATCAACAAAATGTAATGTCTGAGATGTCTCAAGCCTTTTATAACTGTGAGCTACAGTATCACCACAGGGATGATATATATATATATATATATATATATATATATATATATATATGTATGTATATCAAAATGCATCAACTATAGTGTTATAATAGTATACAGAATTATTAGCTTCAAAATGAATTATGTGCTGGGTGCTGGTGGCTCATGCCTGCTATCCTAGCTATTCAGGAGGCTGAGATCTGAGGATTGTGGTTCAGGGCAGCCTGGACAGGGAAGTCTGTGATAGTCTGATTGCCAATTAAAAAAGTTGGAAGTGGAGCTGTGGTAGAACACTAGCCTTGAGCACAAAAGCTAAGGGGCAGTGCTCAGGTCCTGAGTTCAATCAAGCCCCAGGACCGGCACACACATGAAAATTATGTAATTTTAAGTAACAATCTTATGTTGAACCAATTGGTTATTCTAGCCACTTGGAGCAGGGGAGAGGAACCCTTTTTCTGCCACAGACTATTTGTGTATTTGTAACTTCATTCACGGCCATACATTCGGGCAGCTGCACAGAAGCATATGCCTAGCCCATCCTGGATCAAATGATTTCTACAGCCTTGCATGGCCCGAGGCTGGATGTTCCCCAGGCTTGATTCAAAGGATGTTAAAGCAGCTGGAAGTACGGCTCTCAAGCTCCCTTTCTGCCCGGCATCTCTGAAGTCCGGTGTCCTGCTTTTCCATGCACAGCTACATACTCAGGGAGACAGCCTGGCTGAACCCAGGACCAGCGGTTACCCCAAACCTTCTCTTTGTAGTCAAGTCTTAACATGCACGTAAGAGAAAACACCCAGCCCATAATTCTGTGAAAGGAGGGCGCAGAGTCGCACGCATAGGGCATTGTCTCACCTGATTATATATGTTGTATTTGTTGACGTGGTTTTCGTGAAAAATCAGCTTGAGAAACTGCCCTACTGCATCCACATAAACAGACTTCAGTTCCCGGGCTTTGCAACCAGTCTTTTCATTGTCACAGAGAGAGACGTAGCTAAAACAAAAAACACAGAGGAAGAATAGGTTGAAGACAAAAATGCACCTTTTCCTACTGGACCTGACGAGTTTAAATAAAAGCCTGGGAACCGCCTCCCAAGTCAAATTCTAGTCTACAGTCTTGTTATGGGAGTGGGATTTGAACTCAGGACTACACACTTGATTAGCAAGCACTCTACCACTTGAGCCAGGCCACAGCTTTTTTTTCTTTCAGTTTCTCAGGCGGGGTCTTACAGACTTCTGCCTGGGCTGGAGTTGGTTTGCAATCCTCCTATCTCTGCCTTCCAAGTAACTGGGATTATAGGCTTGTGCCACCATGCCTAATTCATGTTCTCGAGAAAAGCTCTCTACTTGCAAAGCAGTTGAACGCTAGAATTGGCAGATGTGACAGGGCCTCCTTTGCACCAGACATATGGCGCCATGCTAGGAATGGCAAAGAGGACCAGGACGGGAGCCCCGAGGGAGATGTGGTCACGTTAACCATCAACAGTGTGTACATTTGAAATTCTATTCTTACCCAAGTCTGCGAAATCGCTCTGCTTGGTATGGCGCAAAATATTCCGGCAAGCTTTCACTAATGTAGAACTCGATCTTACTGGCAATCATGTACTGGTGGGCTAGTAACTGCAGTTTTCGTATTCGACATCTCTCCACCATCTGAAGAACAATTTCTTGTGGGAACTGGCAGAATCTGTAAGCCAACACACACATCCTTGTTTTCCTGAGAGAAGCCGACAGCTTCCGGCCGCCATGCGTGTGTATAAGCGGCATCTGGAGCAGGGGGCAGAGGGTCCCCAGGAGATGATGGCAGTCGGCTCCCATCTCTTGTGCTTTTCAGAGGTACAGCTGAGGCCTGGACCCGCCAGCTGCCTGGCACAAACCTTGCTTTTGGCAACGAGACAGATGTTGGAGGGAAACCTCAAGGTATTATTGGCATGAGTGGGTCAGTCTTAGGAGCCTGGACCAGCGCACATGGACAGGCCAAGGAACTTGGGAAGCACCTGCTTCCAGTGCTGGGCTAGCATTTTGGGACCACCTACTGTGCATGCTTGGGCTGGGGGAACCTAGGCTCCAGCATGTGGGGCTCTACCCACAGAGGAACGGCCCACGGTACGCACCGAGGCATGTGGGACTCCTATCCACACAGGAACGGCCCACGGTACGCACCGAGACACGTGGAGTCTACCCACGGAGGAACGGCCCACGGTACACACGGAGGCACGTGGAGTCTACCCACAGAGGAACACCCCACGGTACGCACCGAGGCACGTGAGCTCTACCCATGGAGGAACGCTCCACAGTACGCACCGAGGCACGTGGGCTCTACCCACAGAGGAACGGCCCACGGTACACACCGAGGCACATGGGGTCTACCCACGGAGGAACGGCCCGCGGTACGCACTGACTGTGTGGAGGCTGGAACAGCACAGCAGTCATGGGACACTGGTGAACACGCCCATGCAGTGTGGCCCCAGGAGGACCGTGCTGAGGGGACGGGAGAGGAGAGGCACCGTGCGTGGGACAGGGCAGTCAGGAAAGGCCCCACCCATGTCACTGTGACTGACACGTAGAGGTGTGAGTTGTAGGTTTTTCCCTTGTTCTCTGGCTCTGGGCTCTCTGAGTCTGCGGTCCTGAGGACAGCACAGCAGGGAGTTCCCCACCCCCACAAAGCCCCTCTGCATCTCTCCCAGCCAGTGACAAGCACTCTGGGCCCCAGGACAGGGCATCACAGCTTGTCCCAGGGTGCTGGTTGACTTGTCTTCCCTTGCCTTCCTGTGAGGGGTGTGGCCATAGGGAAGGAGACCCTCATCAACAGCCCTGACCTTCCTCTGGGAGTATGATGTGCCCTTCAGGCGGCTGTGTCAATGCACCAGAGTGCCATGTCAGGGCTATTTTGTTATTTACAAACATCATCAAAAAATGGTCCCTGTGTTCTCTGTAAGAACCTTCCAGTAGCACACAGTCACTGAGGAAATGTAGCCAGCACTGACCTCTGCTGAATGGAAGGGCTGCAGGGTGACCTTTATGTGCTGGGTTTGAACCCAGAACCTTGCATGTGGGAGGCAAAGAGCTCCGCCAGTGAGCTTTTGGCCTTTCTGAGACTGGGTCTTGCTTCACAACCCAGGCTATCACTGTGGACTAAGATGTGTGTCTGCAGGCATGCCTCCAGAGGGCTGGGATTACAGGCACACACCCTCTCCTGTTCTTGTACAGTTTTCAGAGTGTGGGCTCATCTTATAAGGGAAATAGGATCATCAGACTTTCTTGGAAAACAAAAAGCCATTGGGATGTGTAACACGGAAGCACAATTTGACAATCCTGTGGCTTATAGCATCCAAGTTACAGCAACAGCAGAGTCAGGTGAAGGAAAGTCACATGACACGGTCTCCATGCCTCCCCTTCCCCCCACTCCAGCTTTACCTTGGTGACCTCCATCCACTGACGGTGGGTGCGTGGATCATTAGTTCCCGAGCACTGAAGCCGTCTTCGTGTCCAGAAGAGCTGACCACTACGAATCCAATCTTGTGGGGCATTCTGCACACCTGGGCTGTAGAAGAGCAAGGGGCACTTTCTTTAAAGGAATTCACTAACCTAATGTTGAAAGTACTAGTTCATGCATGCCTAATGTACACAGAAGTTCAAAAAGACTTCAGAATTTTCCATCACTTTTCATAGACATAGTTCTACTTAAGGTAGAACGTACCTTGATTTTCCAAAGTATCTGTTCAAAGTTTGGCTTGGGCTGTGAACTGACCCATGTCCCCAAAGATGTTCAGTCCCTACTGTGGCACATGTGAACCTGAACGTACTTGAAAACAGGGCCCTTGCAGGTGTGATCCAGTGAAAATGAAGTTCTAAGGGGGCCGCTCCAATGTGGCTGGTGTCAGACTTCTAAGAAGGGGAAGAGGAAGGGCACAGTTCAGAGGGAAGACACTTGACTGGCATGTGCGAGGCTCTAGGTTTAATCCCCAGAAAACAAAACCAACCAAACAAAAGGCAGAAACCGGAGCCAAGAGGAATGCCAGGGGCTTCTGTACGCAACCCCTAGAGCCCGCAGCGAGGGAGCCCCGGCCGGCACCTGGACTTCAGCCCTCCAGTACCAGTTTGTGATACTTTGTGATGGCAAAAACCAAGTTTTTTTTTGCTAGGTTACAAATAGCAAGTTTTTCTGCATTTGTTAGGAAAGTAATAGAGCCAGTGTATAAACTAGTAGCCAATGACAGGAGGGGTGGGGGAACTCAGCCACAAGTGTAACAGTGATTGATCACTAGTATAACAAGAATCGATCACTAAGGCAACAGCAACTTATCCACTAGGGTAACAGTGACTGCTATATGAAAATGACAGGTTCATCAAGTGCAAACTTGATGACCGCAGGGACTGGACGACTGGCTGAGAATGTATTTAAAATACTACTAGGAGGTGGGCACTGGTGGCTGACACCTGGAACACTAGCTACTCGAGGCTGAGGTCTGAGGCTTGCCGTCTGAAGCCAGCCTTGGCAGGAAAGTCAGTGAGACTCTTACCTCCAATAACCTACTAAAAAAGCTGGAAGTGGAGCTGTGGCTCAAGTGGTAGACAGCTAGTCATGTGCAAAAGAAGTGCAGGACAGAGCCCAGGCCCTGAAATCAAGCCTTAGGCCTGGTAACAATAACCCACTAGGAAAACACAGTGTTGGTAGAAGTATATACACATACGGAAGACTGAGAATAGTGTTGATAGTTCTCATCTTGTACAAAAATGAACTCCAAATAGATCAAAGATCTGAACGTAAGACAAAAAAAGCTGAAACTTCCTCACCAGACACTACCTTGAAAGTGAACTATACAAATTGTGAGTGGGGATGGGAGGGAAAAACTGGGGAAGAGTGAGGGAAGGGGTGACACTGTCTCAACACAAATGTAATTATTACGTGACTTATGAAACTGTAACCCCTCTGTACATCACGTTTATAATAACAACAAAAACAAAAAATAAGTCATGTCATACCAGTACTTAAAAAAAAAGGAAGGGTGAAACTGCTTGAGGCAAACATAGGGAGCATTCTTGAAGGTACATATATCATTTTTCTGACCAGAACCCCAATTCCTCAGAAAACAAGAATAAGAACTGGAAAATGAGACTACCTCAAATTAAGAAGCTTCTGTACATCAAAGGCAACAATCCCTGGAACCAAAAGAAAACCTATAGACTAGGAAAAAATCTTTGATGGCTAGCTAACCATGAACAGGGGAAGAAATCCAACTGGGCAAATGAACAGGCAGTTCTCAAAAGAAGCACAAATAAACACATGAAGAAATGTTCCCTGTCAGCTGTAAAGGAAATGCAAAGCAAAACAGCACTGAAATTCCCTCTCACCCCAGTCCGACTGGCCACCACCAAGAAAACAAGCAAAGTCTGGGTAGGGGAGGGCCTCCTGCACTGTGAGTGGGAATGTAAACTACCCACTGTGGAAATCAGTGTAGAGGTTCCTGAGAAAACTAGAAACAGAGCTAAGATGTGATCCAGTTGCACCACTCCTGGTATAAATCCAAAGGAAGGCGAATCACCCCACCACCACGTTTATTCTTAGCAGGCAAAATACTGAGTGAGCCCAGGTGCCCACCAACTGATGAAGTGATAAAGGAAATGTGGTAAATGTACACAATGGAGTGCTATTCAGCTATACAAAAGAATGAAATGATGTCCTCTGTACGGTTAGACCAATACTGCCTGTTCTCTCTCATGTGTGGAATCTAGTTCTTCAAAGGGACAGGGGGTTGGAGTCGCTCAAATGGTAGAGCACCACCCAATAAGGGAAAGCAAGTGTCAGATAGAGAATCTGAGTCTCAGTCTTGGACAACAACAACAAAAAAGTGACAAGAAGGCAAAACAGGGTCTTCTGGGGGGCGGTGCCTGCAGGAGGGGAGTGAAAGGCGAGTGACAGGGATACATATGGTTGAAGTAGTTTCTATACATGCATGAGAACAGAACGTGAAAAACTTAAAGAAAATTTTAAAGTGGAGAAGTACAGATGAAGTGAGTTTGATCCAAGTACAGAAACATCACGATGAAATGCCTTTGTACAATTAGTGGTTGCTTTAAAGCCTCTCCTCCCTCCAAACTCCCCTCACACAAGGAAGAGTTCACTGCAACAAAAACGCCAGCATGTAGAAAGTGGGCAAAGAACACCCTGAGTGAGTTTTCCGAGTTGTGACTCTGTGGAGACCGACTCTGACTGCAGCTGGACATCGGCGTGTGGAGGACAGGCAGGGACATCTACTTCTGCGGCCTGGCACCACGCTGTCCTTGCTGCAAACAGCACCACACGCTGACTTTCCTCTGGTCACTCGTCGGGCCTCTGGCCTGCCCATCCCCTCAGGCCCTGACATGCATGGGGTATGCTCCTGGGCTGGATCAGAGCACGAATCTCATGCCCCTGCCCAGTGAGAAGCTCTCCCGGGAATACACGTTTGTGGCCCAGATGATTCTGTGTCAGGGCTATGCAGAAGAAGGGGCTGCCGGGGCCACCTGTGGCAGAGGCTCCCCTCCGGCTGAGGGCAGTGGTACTGATAGGCGGGGGGCCACTTGTGAGGCCTCTGAGGGCCTGCACCACTCCCAGACTCCCCGTTATTTTTCAGTTACCAGTCAATCAAAGCCCTGCTGAGCAAGCCATTGGAGCAAGGTTAAATCACATAGAAAGCAAAACCAAACCACCTGTCACTAAGTCAGAGGAAAAAGACCCAAACCACCTGTTGCTAAGTCAGAAGATTAAAAAGAATCCATTAGAAATGTCTCTGAGATAAAACACACTCGTAATTAGAATCCACTTTCGGAGGTCGGATGAAGCCTGGCTCGTTTTAACATGCCCGGTGCATAAGCGCCGTCTTTCTCCAGCTCACAGGGACCCTGAGGAGGAGCACTTCCATAAACCAATGACTGGCTGGAACTTGCTAATGTTTCTTGAAATGTAAGAGTAAAAAAGCATTTAAAACACAAGAACAAGCAAAGTTATATCTTATGCAAAATACAGTAGAGGAAAACTCAGCTAAACAAACCCAGAAGATAACAAAAAGCAAGTACAAAGCCAATGTTGAGTGACATAAGGCCTTGTCTACCCCCAGTGACGTCTGCACCCCAGGAACGGCACAGCTTTCCCTGATCTGCAAGGTCACTCGGGCTAGGAGCCTGTAGCTGACCTCCCCCCACTTGGCCACACCCACCATTACCATCCAAAGCCATATGGTGTGCCAGGCTGTACTAGATACAGTCCATTTACCTTCTCCGAGCCCTTCTTGTCTTGAATTCCAATGCTCAGCCAAATTGAACCTCAAGCTCACAGGTAGCATCCTTGCACACAGAAATTCTCATTCCTTGGATCACCTTTTAAAAGCAGTGTTTTGTCAAACTCTGCCTACCATGGCAATGGCTTTTGTTCTCAGGCAGCTAGGTTCATGTACCAATCAAAATATTGGTTACACTGGACATTTACATCCAAATACAGATGTATCTCTGCAGCTGCCCCCAATAAATTCCAAAGTATTCACCCTGAAGACCTGCGAGGATGACTGGCCACCATGGATGTGTGTGTGAGTGTGAGTACTGGGGCCTGAGTGCTGTCCAGCTTTTTTGCTCAAGGCTGGCTTCTAACAGTTGAGCCACAGGTCCACTTCCAGCTTTTTGCTACTTAACTGGAGATAAGAAGTCTTATGGACTTTCCTGTCCAGGTTGGCTTGGAACTGAGATCCTCAGATCTCAGCCTCCTGAGCAGCCAGGATGACAGGTGGGAGCCACCAGCCCCGGGCTCCAGTGTGGTACTGAAATCTGAAAAGCATCCCCAAGGGCCCAGAGTCTTCCGTCCCTGGGCGTGCTCACACACATCAGTATCACACGGGACACTTGCAGGGCTCTAGAGTGTGATGAGGGCATCCTGCCAGCTGGCCTTCCCCAGGGCATCGGGATCCAGGCTCCCCCCGAAGTGCCATCACTCTTCTCCCTGGCCATGCTTGGTTCTCGCACCAGACTAAGCTGAACTAAAACGCCACAGTAGCAACTTCCAGAGACTTTGTTACACCGTCACGGAACTAAAACTGTTTCCAGTTAAAGAAACAAGTGTCAGTATTAAATAGCGATGGGGGGGGGGCGGGGTAAGGCAATCTTAACCGACGGGAAGGCTTCAGAGAAACCTCAAAGAAAAACCAAGTCAGAGTGGAGCCTTCCATAGGGTTCTGGAAGCTGGTCCCCGTCAGCGAGGCGTGCGCTGCAGGGCAGGAGGCTGGGCACCGCATCCAACGCGGGGCAGCGGCGCCCGGCCTGGGAGGCCGCGGGGCGGGGCCTGGGAGGAGGGCGGGCCGCGGGGCGTCCATCTTCCCACCGAGGCAGCTCAGAAACCACTGTGCAACAACCACGCAGCTGGACCCGGGGGCACACCAGGGGAGGGAGGGAACTGAGGAGCTGTGGGGACCACTGGAGGAGGCCCAGGTCCACGCAGCCTGGCCTTCGGCTCAGTGACCACACGGTGCCCAGCTGCGGAGTCAACTCCTCTTGTCAGAACACCAGGTGCAATGCAGACATGGTGCCCGAACTCCATCTTCTCCAATCGTCAAAAACACTCAGCTGGAGCTGGGAAGGTGGCTCAGTGGTAGAGCGCTTGCCTTGCATGCCTGAGGCCATGGGTTCCATTCCTCAGCACCACATAAGCAAAAAGAAAAAAAGCCGG